TTTCAAAAATATTCCTTTTACTTTGGTCGTGGTAGCATAATTTTTTATATTTCATAAATGTCGTTTTTAGTAATGTTTATATGGGGTGTAGGTTTAAAAGGAGTATATACAACCGAAGGAAAATAAAAACTGCCTCTTCATACAAATTTCGACTCTACCTTGTACATTTTGTACGAAAAGTCAGTCAAATTTTTTTTCTATTTTCAAATTTTTTTGTATTAAATGTAGTCAGATCTATGATTCCAGCTCCCCCCTTTATATCGGATGTATATGACTTTTTAAACAATCTGTACGTACAAATAACGCTTGTATCTGTTTCTTTAAAAAGAGAAATCGAAGAGAAGCCAGTTGATAAAAAAATCAAACAAAAATAACTGAGTAGACATATACTTATTTATTTAGTTCGTTACATCATTAAAAGTAAGGAATTTTTTTCGAGTGGTGTTATATTGTGTAGGGATTAACTTTTTTGGGATTTTTTATGTTTTTTATTTCCTATTCCTTCTTTGGCATATAACTTTCAAGGCGCGAATAAATTAATTCTAGTAGCACACCACCGTGATAAAACTTTGTCAAACGAAGCAGCATTGTTGTTTCCCAAAACTCCTCACTCATCACTTTAACTCTTGCGTTACATTTCTTTTTACTGACACAAGGATATTTCTTATTTTTTCTATACATCTTTTCCGTTTATTTCTTTTGTTAATAAATTGAAATTCACCAAATATAAAAGTCCAAGTCAATTAATATATTACTCTAATACTAATATAAACACAATACACTAAAAACTAGATCTATTATAACAATTTAATAATATATATTTAAGTAGAGTAACTTTCACGATGTGCTCCGCTAAGTCCATAACCGCTCAAGCGTCCTGCCCTCGCGACTGATTTACCCTTGTACGTCCGGATACGCGCGGCCCTAATTCGGCTGCTACCGCGTTTGCATATTGTATAATAAAACTTCATGAATAAAACCCACATAGCTACTTAACTATAAGAGCACGTTCAGACTCGGCGGAAACCGTGCGGACGCAAACCGCGCGGGTCCGATCCGCGAGAATAGTGAAGTGTTCAGACAAGCGCGGTTATTGTGCGGTGCGAGGACTGCGAGGTAGGGTGACAGCCTTTCAGTTCAATCATGGAAGTTGAAGAGGCAATATGTGTGTACTTACTCCTACTCCACAAAAAAAAAAGGAAACGGCAGTATTGGGTGCATCCAATTTTACAAGATCGGTTCACTCATGGTCAGTTTGTGTCTTTATATGCAAAGTTAAGGAATTATGATTCCGAATTTTTTTAACTATTTAAGAATGTCAATAAAGTCATTTGATGAATTATTGGAAATAATCAGTGAACAAATTACATCTTCTAATACCCATATGAGGTCAAGCGTATCACCAGAAGAAAAACTCGTGATCACTTTAAGGTAAGGTATTTATTTTTATTTAATAATTATCAGAATATATATTTATGTAATATAAGAATATATATTTATATTTATGTTATATTAGAATATATATTGGGTATTTATTTTCACATAATATCAGAATATATATTTTCTACAATAGAAGACTGTGAGTCATCAGTAGTGTATGATGAAGGCGATGGAGATCCCGCTGGTACAATTGTAGAGTATCCAGTAAAATATCCTTGTGGATTTGAATATGGTTGGCTATTTAAATATGCTGTATTATGCATGTTTTGCTGGTTTGTTGTAATGCGAAATGGCAATGGTAATTTCTGTCCCTTCTCTATTACTTGAAGTAATTCAATTTTAGTAGCCAAACGCTTGTTTTCTGGAACTTTTTTTTAATTCTTTGTACAAAGATAAACAAAAAAGCTTATCATCATCTTGGTTAGAAATATTTTCTTGTAATTCTCTTTGTAATTTATCTCGTGACTGAATGCTCTCCTCTAATATGTTAGCCAATCGATCTTCTGGTGCACTTTTACTTTTTTTTCTTTTTTTGGGGGGAGGGGAGCGTATTTCACGTGCATTCACAAAATTATTTTGGTCTTTGTCACTGTCTTCATTATGCTCATTTTTCGCTTCTTCTATGTTACTAGTTGTTTCTTTATTTTCTACCGTCTTCTGAAGAAAGGAAAGCCGGTCAAAATACATGTATTTTGAACCTTTACATGCACCTGAACCAGAAGGAGCTGACTTGCCTTTTTTGAATTCCTTGTTGTAGGCATCACGTATGTTCTTCCATTTTTTTTGCAATGTTACACCTGAATAAGAAATTTATCGTTAAGAAAAATGTTAAGGTTTTCATAATATGTGCTGGTATTTTTTTTTTGTTTCAGATATCTGGCTATTGGTTGTTCCTTTGGAGAACTTCGTTACAACTTTCGTCTTGGCAAATCTACAACCACAGGAATTGTCCGTGAAGTATGTAAAGCTTTGTGGAAAATACTCGCAAAAAAAGTCATGCCCGAACCGAGTGAAGATGTGTGGGAGAGAATAGCTATAGATTTTGAAAGATATGCAAATTTCCCCAATTGCATAGGCGCCATAGATGGCAAACATATAAGGGTTATAATGCCTGATGATTCTGGATCTTTATATTATAATTATAAAAACTATTTTTCTATAGTACTTTTGGCACTTTGTGACGCTAATTACTGTTTTACTTTTGTTGACATTGGATCATATGGAAAAAGTAGTGATTCTGCAATATTTAAAAATTCAATATTTTATAAAAGATTAATAGAAAAATCATTACACATACCAAAACCTAAACCAATATCTAACGCAGATCCTTTACCATTACCATACGTTATAGTTGGCGATGAAGCGTTTGGTTTATCGGAAAACTTAATGCGACCCTATGCGGGTAAAGGGTTATCATACGAAAAAAGGATTTTTAACTATAGGTTATCTAGGGCTCGACGTAATATTGAATGCAGCTTTGGTATTTTAGCAAACAAGTGGTGTATTTTTCATAGGCCTATAAACGTTAACATAGACTTTGCCGAAGACATAATAAAGGCATGTTGCGTGTTACACAATTTTGTTAGGACAAGAGATGGTGTACGGTATAAAGACACTTTGTACACTGCGCCAATGAGTAGTCTTAATAAATTACATGCAGGAAGAGGTACACCTTCATCTTTGAACATTAGAGATAGATGTGCTAATTACTTTGTGAATGAGGGTCGTGTAGAATGGCAAGATACTAAAATATAAACTTATAAATATGTATATTACATTGGTAGGTATCTATATTATGTAAACACAATCACAAACAATGTAAAGTAACTACTAGGAGAAATGTTTAAATAAAGTACCTACTAACCAAAAAGTTTTTTCTTTTCCAATGAATCCTCGTTTATACCAAAAATCTCTACCAGGTCCTGCCAAGCCTTATTTTTGGCAATTTTATTAGAATAATCTTCACACTGGATGTCCCATATTGCTGGTCTTTTTTCAACTTCGTCAATGAATAGTTCGGTGTCAAAGCGCTCCATTGTCATACGTGCGATACGCGCGGATTCCACGGAGCAACTGAACACGCCCAGGGATTGTCATAGAATTACGTCCGCGCGGCGAACGCGCGAATTCATTTTCTTGCGGTCGAGTTGCGGCTACCGCGCGGTTGCATGGTCCGCGCGGTGTAGTATGAACGTTCTAGTACTATGCCATTATAATAAGATCCGCGCGGTTGACCCGCGCGGTTTGCGTCCGCGCGGTATCCGCCATGTCTGAACTAAGGGTAATAGATGGAGTAGAGACAAAAACTACTAAAAATTTACAGAAGAATGCCAATTAAACCTATCTATGTTTTAAAACCCAAAAATATTATTTATGATAGTAAAAATAGTTGTGAACATTGAATTTGGAGAAAAACAAACGTATAAATTTTATTAATTTACACCCATTGAAGTAATATGTACTTACGTACTAGAACAGCTATTTCAAACAAAAAATGTGCGCTGCTCTGTGTTCGCGCGGTTTGTTTTCTTATCATAGAATAAACATAGGTAGAATGATATGAACATATTTTGCTGTTTGACCGAAACTTATTTAGAACTGTTGTGCGCCTAAGTTGACATCTGGCACTAGCGCCATCTAGTGTCGGGTAACAATGCGAGGAGAGCTTTCCAGAAAATGACATGACTAATCTTTTAACCAACAGCGCCATCTAGTATCGAATTGAAGAACTAAGCTTTCTAGAAGCCTCACACTCGAACTTTCTACGTCTAGTCGGTCGGCGCCCGTATCTACGGGAATATTCCAGATATTTAGGCATAAAAGTGTATTTAAACCTGCTGCATGCCGCGATCGAGGCCGTATTGAATTTGGCGAGACAAGCGAAGCTTCGGAGCGGAATAAAGTGAATCAGTGTGATTAATTAATAGTGTCTTTTAGGTTTAATTAGTGTAAAGTGAATTAAAGTGTTAATTTTGGTAATTCAATCGGCAGTTTTTATTGTCACGAACCCTAAGCTCGTAACAGAACTATTGTCGTTACGTCGGTGGATATAAAACTAGCCACAACAAAAAACCTGAGTAACGCATTTTTAACGAATCTTCAATGAATATAGTTTATTTCTGTTTGTAAAGTTCATTGTTATGTTTATTACGAACTAACACTCGTTCGCTTAAATATAATTTTACTGAAAAACAAAGTAAACAAAAATAAACTTGGGCCGACAACTTGAGAGCGGCCATTTCTTTCGAAACAGTTATACTTTAAATTTAAAATAAAACTCGATTTTACACTAAGAACTGTGATATGTGTGACTTATAATATTCTAAGTAATATTAAATAAAACTAAAGTACTTACGACATAATCGTTTACACTCCACAAGCACTAGTTCACAAAACACCGAGAGTAGAGTAGACTGATGTTAAATAATCAAGCCGGGTTGACACGATAAGAGTTGGCTCGGACCGAGTGCACTCCGATTACTACTCGGACGTTACTCGTATCGTGTAAACATGTAATCCGAGCGTACTCGGACGCCGGCATCTAATCCGAGTGGAATCGGATGATGCTCTATTTTCCCCCTTTCACTCGGATCTCAGCACGGATCATTTTAATTAAAAATGGCGGCGTCAAGAAAAAGTGGACGGAACGTGATACTGTAAGGGTCGTGGAACTGTATGAAGAAGAACAAGTGTTGTGGAACGTGCGAATCAAAGACTATAAAAACCAATATGCCCGAAATGCCGCTATTCAGCGCATTCGATATTCTTAAAATATTCTGCTACTTTGCCATGGGACGGCGCCTTCTCCAATGAAATAATTTTTATAATTTATTCTTCTTTGCTCTGCCAACCGAGATGGATGATTACTACCTTGATTCACAACATGTGCAATATAATTTGAACTAGGTTCCTGTCTCCACGAACCAGGTCTGTCATCTGTGTCCATTGTTCCCACTGGTGCATAATAGTGCATGGCTGTCTTCATGAGCCAGTTGTGAAGTGCACAAGTTGCTTTGACAATTTTGTCAACTTTGTCTGGACACAAATATATTGGAATCCGGTATATTCTAAATTTTGACACCATTATGCCAAATGCATTTTCTATTATACTTCTGGCACGAGAAAGATGGCAGTTAAAAGTTTTCTCTTCGGCTGTCAATGTTAATCTTCGAGAATATGGTTTCATCAAATACTGTTTCAGTGGAAAAGCTTCTTCTCCTAAAATGACACCCCAAAAAGGAAAATTCAGAGTCCCATCTTCCAATTTCTCTTTAAAAAGTATTGAATTACTGAGTACTGAAGCATCGTTTAATCTACCCTGGCTGCCCACATCAATATATGTAAAACAGTAGTTGTCTACCAGAGCCAAAAGTACAGTACTAAAGTAACCTTTATAATTAAAAAAAGTCACTTCCACTGTCGATTGGTTGTTGTATATTGACGTGCTTGCCATCTAAGGCTCCACAACATCCAGGAAAATTTCAACGGTTATCAAACACTCGAAATATTTGCCATTCTTCAGTTGTCTTTGGGATCTGAAAAAAAAACAAGGCATATTTTAATTTTCTATTATTGTTTTGTTACAGGAGAATTCAGATAACAGCTCTTCAGATTCAGACGTTCCAGCCGCACCTTCACCAGACATTCCCGCCGCAGCTTCACCAGACATTCCCGCCGCACCTTCACCAGACATTCCAGCCGCACCTTCACCAGACATTCCAATCGCTCCTTCACCAGACATTCCAATCACCCCTTCACCAGACATTCCCATCGCCCCTTCACCAGATATTCTCGCCGAACCTTCATCGGACATACCAAGACCTCTTCCGCTACCGGCAGATCTTCAAACGCCATCATCTTCCCAGCAGTTAAATAGTGAAATATTCGTTAAGCCACAAAATACGATCAAGTAGAAGCGACCACTTAAACGACCATTAGTACCAACATATCGAGAAGTCTATTGAAACACTTAATAGTATCAAGGCCCAAGTACTGTGTCATAAAGAAATAGAAGATGAATTCTCCCCTTTTTTCCCAAAAATATCACCAGCCAGGTCCGACAATTGCCCCTAATAGATGCTCTAGATCTAGATGTTCAGTCTGAAATAATAGAAATAGTAAAACGGAAAAGAATAATTCGAATGCAATTGGAAAACAATTCTACGACATCGAATTAATATACATTTGAAATACCAGAACATTTATTCAATAGTCTTGAATCTCAGATTCATATTCAACGTGACGCAACAAGGCAAGAATCATCACAACTTGCTGTAGTAAATGATGCATTACAAAAGGAAGGCATAGAAGTTCAGATCCAACGTGATGCAACAAGCCAAGAAACATCACCAGAATTTGTAGTAGATGATCAATTACAAGAAGCAATTCGAAGCACTGGTGGGATTCAAAATAATGAGAATTACTAGGCTGCACTAAAAGTATCGGGAATGGAATATTTCCACTGTTCCTGTCATATTAAAATCTTTTTAATTGAAAACTCCTTGGTTTTAAAAATCGAATACCATTTATTTATTTAAAAAAAAGATTCACGGTCTTGTCACAAGGTTTTGTCAAACTTGTTTAGTTGTTGAGAAAATGGAATTGACTCGAGAAAATTCAAGGGCGATGATTTATTATGACTTTCGAAGTGGTTTAACACAAAAACAGTGTGTTGACCGGATAATTTCTAAATTTGGTGATGAAGCCCCATCCAAAACCACAATTTATCGTTGGTTTCCTGAATTCCAACGTGGACGTGTCAAGCTCAGTGATGATCCCCGTCAAGGTCGTCCAAAAACTGCAGTCACCCAAGAAAACGTTGATGCTGTGCGTAAGCTGATTGAGGATGATCGACATGTGACATACCGCGAAATTCAGGCAACTTTAGACATTGGCATGAGTCAAATACAAATAATCTTGCATGAACAATTAGGTGTAAAAAGTTGTTTTCCCGATGGGTACCGCATTCGCTCTGTGAAGAGCAAAAAGCGACAAAAATTGTTCGTTCACGCAGTGTTGCAAAAAAAATGGTGGCCACGTTTGTCTCTAAAACCGGCCATGTTACGACTATTCCTCTTGAGAGACAATGAACGGTTAATGCAGAATGGTATGCTAGCATTTGTTTGCCACAGGTCGTTTCTGAACTCCGTAAAGAGAACTGCAACCGCCGCATCACCCTCCATCACGACAATGCGGGTTATCACACCGCACACAGAACAAAAGAGTTTTTAGAGCAAGAAAACATAGAATTACTAGACCATCCGCCGTACAGCCCCGACCTAAGCCCTAATGATTTCTATACTTTCCCTAAAATAAAGAATAAATTGCGTGGACAGATATTTTCATCACCTGAAGAAGTTGTGGACGCCTACAAAACGGCCATTTTAGACACCCCAACTTCCGAATGGAATGTTTGCTTCAATGATTGGTTCCATCGTATGGAAAAATGTGTTAAATTTCGCGGAGAATACTTCGAAAAGCAATAAATACATTTTTAAATAGTAATGTTGTGTCACTTCCTTGATTCCCGAAATTTTCAGTGCCGCCTATCGTCATATCGCTATTTTGCTAAACAATAATTAAGATTACTTTAACAGTAGGTAGCTTGATATTAAATAAAAATTTTACCATGATTTATTGTTACTGACCTTTATGTACTCCTCCAACCCTTCATATATTGCATCTAGCACTTCTGGCAGAAACTTGGATATGGTGCTTTTTAGAACTCGAAAAGAACTTTCTAAACTTGGAAAACTATCTCCAGTTGCTAAATAGCGCATAGCTATTTGTAGCTTTATTTTGGCAGGTAGAGCAGCTCTCTATGACTGTATCAGCTCTCTGTATTTTCGACGTCACTTTTGTAACAGATAGTTAAATTGTTCACCGTTCAGCCTCAAATGATTCTTGTAAGTGGCTTTGTCTTCCATGCGTACTTCTCGGAGAAAATTATCTGATGCTCCCAGCTTTTCACGCCTTAATATCCATTCGCGGGTCCAAATCGATCTCTTTTTGCGTTCCTTCTTTCTTCTTAAATTGCTTGTTTCTTTGCTTATATGGTTCAACTCTTTTATTTAGTATATCTGCAACAACTGCGACACCTTGCAACAGCAGATCAGTCTGTTCCATGTTGAGAAGATCAGTGTGTTCCGTGAGTTGACACAAAATTGAATGAACTTTGATAAGAGTACACTATGATCGTGTAAACCACTATAGGAGTACACTCGTATGACGCTGACTCGTACGAGTGTACTCTGACGTGACTCGGTCCGAGCTGACTGTTATCGTGTCAACCCGGCATTACGGTCCATTCGTTAAGGCTTGTTACACAGCCATCTCGTTTGTAATACGTAAAGAAATTCGTCAGCTATCGATTCCAAAAAAAAATACAAAAATTACCGCAATTGTTCCTAGATGTCAATTTTATAAAACTTGACGCTAAGGCTACTTCACTATCCGGAACGTACAACGCTACTTTTGTTTTGGCTAGCGTAGTAGCCATGGACGTTTGAGTGCATAAGAGCTGCGCGAGGAAAAGAGATCAATCGTGCGAGCGAGAGGTAAAGTAACGTTTAGCAACACTGCACACGTCTGAATGCCGAGAAATCCCAGCGGAACTGAGAGAATTTTCACGCGTTTCTGGTTTAGTGGTAATGGTAATTGGTAAATGGCATATAGGTAAAAAGTACGAAAATATGATATATTTTCGTATATATTGTATATTTTTAATTTTATTTATTTCTTATTTACTTTAAAATAGTTTTATTTTACGTGGTTTTAAGTACGACTTTGCTACATTTATACTTCTAATAGAAAAAAAACTAGATATCTGCAGTAAAAAATCATGACTTTACAACTTTTTAAGCCCTTCAAATGAGAAAATTAAAGTATTTCTAAAAAAAAGTGACGAGATTAGATTATTGTCAACAATATGGAAATAAATGTGATCTGAATACTTTTCCAGATTTTGTTATAGTTTGTACGTAGCAGAGGCTTTAATAAGACCTTTTACGCATGTAACCTAAACACAGACATGTTTAACGCCTAATAGAGCTATTAATTTAAACACCAAAATAAAATTAAAAAACAGTTTCGAAAATCTCGAATCCTACACTTTAAACAAATGTAAAATATGTTTCACTTTTTCCTCTTTAAATACTATAAAAAATATTTGTTTTGCTGTAAATTTTACGAGAACATATTCATTGAACATATTCTATTTTTACAAGAAAAAAAAACTGTCAGTATCACGTACTGCTTTAAGAACCCAGCCTTAAAGCAGTACGTGATACTGACAGTTTTTTTTTCTTATTAGGCAAGCAATTTTGTTAGACCACGTAGCTTAGTCTAATAATTTTTTATTTGCAAAATAATATACAATATACTGCATGTCTTACCAGGTCGTCACTCCATCTAGTGGAGGGTCACCCTACACTTCGCCTACCGGTACGAGGCTGCCACTCGAGAACCTTTTTTCCCCAACGGTTGTCGGTTCTTCGACCTATATGGCCGGCCCATTGCCACTTCAACTTACTAATCCATTCTGCTATGTCGGTCACTCTGCACATGACATGCAGGAAGTCGATGGATGCAGGTGGCTCAGGACCGTGCTTTGTGGCATAACTTGGGGGAGGCCCATGTTCAGCAGTGGACTTGTGAAGGGCTGTAATGATGATGATGATGATGATACAATATACTGATAAATCACACATAGTACAAAGTCTTTAGTTAGTTTCAAGCTTAACCCAGCGGTTAATTGTTGACGTTAGTATATCAAGATTCAATGTCTATAGAAGATTCAATAATATAATAAATAAGATTTTAGTGCCTGTTATGTGTTTTTTTTTTGCCTAACAGATCAGTAAACAGAAGTGGCAATAGTCCGGTTATCTCAACTAAACTATAATAGATAGGTGAGCGAAGAACCAAGCGGGTTGAAGGGCAGATCTTCACTAGATGGAGGGACGATGGTAAGACACGCAAGGGTTTCAATCTATTAAGCTCAGCTCAATCTCAAGCTCAGGCTTCATAATTTTGATATAAGTACCTGGATGACCGAGCTTTGCTCGGTTTTAATTAAAAAAAATTATGCAATTAGTTTCATTAAAATTTTCGTATTTTTAAAAAAATACTTAAAAAATGGCACGAAATAATAGATTTTCTCACAAAATAAGGGAACTTGAAAAAAAAAAAAGGAAAAAAACTCGGACGAAGAAAACGAAGACGGGACGTGAACCAAGGCATTACGATTTCGCGACCGCTCGCTATCCACTTGTGCTATTACGATCATTAACACAATGACAAAATTTATCTTCTTATATTGTAGCAGTTTTTCATTGCCTGAAAACATGGACAAAAAGACATTTTCTAAAAATAAATCCTAGCTAGATCGATTTATTGCCCCCAAAACTCCCTAGACACAAAATTTTATGAAAATCGTTGGAGCCGTTTTCGAGATTCCGATTAAATATATACTTCTTATCAAAAAAAATCGAAACACCTTCGTTTTAATTTGTTAAAAAATTGAAACACCTAATAACAAAAAGAGTTTTCATTCCATGAAAAAACGTTATTGTATAGCTGGCAATCTGGCCATTACAATGGTAAGCGAAAATTTTATATTTATTATATAAAAATAATATTTAAAAACATTATAGCCCGTTCACCGTAAGATGTCCCCTGCTGTGATGTTGGCACTATTGCTTATCAATCTGTTGTCAGTTTGTCATTATAACGCTCGTTTTTGTGTTATTATTTAAAATATTCCGAATTAATTATGCCGAAACCATTTAGAAGCAGTGCAAGAGAGGTTGTGTTGAAGGTGCGTGCCTTTTTGTGAGAGAGAAAAGGCAAACCAAGCCCCGTTAATTCCACTCAATCCGTAGACCGAGAAACCTATAGACTAATGATCGGCGTG